GAAAGCTAGAACGGGTTTTAAACAAATGCCCAGAAGAAGTAAGATAAGTCAGCCGCAAGTCACAGATATCGCCAAGGCACATATATCGCGGTCAGGCTGTAAATATGCATAGCGCATTTACGTCACTCGAACGAACGGTGTTGAATAAGATGAACCATGAGAGAATAAACCAGAAAATGTTGTATTTCACAAGATTGTCTTCTTTTTTTTTCAGCTGAAGTGAGAAAGAGATTTCTTTAGAGCTACACACTCTAATATACACAATCATACACGGACACACAAGCACACACACACAAGGAAATTAACGCCACGGCTTACAATTAACACAATGAAATAAATAGTAAGGTATGAGTAGCTCTGTATTTTCACTATTTGTTCAACAGACTGTACATTTATATTATCAGAATATAACAGAATATGAATACACAAAAGCTTATAGTTATAAGTCGACAGATTATCATCATTGCACATCGAACCATTCAGTATATAAGTGCTCGGATCTCCATTTCAGTATCTCCTTCAGCGTGTAGTGGTTTATGACACCAGTTCTGTGTTAGTTTACTATTCTTCTTTAGGGCCCCGTATAGCGCTCTTGTCTGGTTTCACCTCTTCTGGTGCGGCAGATTCACAGTCATTACTTGATTTATTTTAATGGAGCCGCCTCTCTGAGGGCATTCAGTATAAAAGACCTGTTTCATTGCTTGTCCGTTTCCCACGTGAGCATCACTTGCAAGTCTGTCAGCTTGCTCATTGCCTTTTACACCGAATGCCCTGGACAAATATGAAACTAATTGTGCTAGCTTAGAATTAATACAATTCTTTTCAGGCTACTTTTATTATAGGATGATTGACTGCTTGTTGTACCCCGCTAGGACATCACACAGGCGATAAACACCAGGTGACACAAAGTGCCACCATGCGGATAAGGATCACCCGTGGAGAGGTCCCAGAAACCCCTTTCAGTCGTTATGGCCACAATTGTGGCCCAGCTACATTCAGGGCCCCTGGCAAAAGCCAGGGTGGGGCTTCAAATAAAGAAAAATACCACAGGGGGATGAACATATTACAGGATGTGTGGTGCTAAAAAGAAGAAGAAATGCAACCTGGAAACTTGTACTGAGAGAGAGAGAGAGAGAGAGAGAGAGAGAGAGAGAGAGAGAGAGAGAGAGAGAGAGAGAGAGAGAGAGAGAGAGAGAGAGAGCTATATGGACTAGGTGCGAATGCCAGTTAGGATTAGTGTCTACGTCTCTGAATAAGCCGCTTTGTCGATGTGAGGGCTTGTGTATACTCTCTTGTGTTTTGTCGAATGAACCTATTGTGTGTCGGAGCTGACAGTATCGTGTCGTAACTCCATGTGTCAAGTGAATATCCCTACCTGTGGACATTTGGTCGTGTGCTGATTATTGTGTAACTCAGATAGCACACACCACAGTTTGGGGGCCAGAGCCACGGAACGAGTGATCTCCCGCACTCACAACAGTTTTGGAGCCAAAGCCATTGAACAGTATCGGGCGGAGGAGTGCACTGGGGGAAGATACTAGCCTTATCATGGGAAAGGAAAAAACATACTGAAAACCTGAAGCCTGTGCCATGGTTGGCAGGTAGGTAAGTTTTACTCCACCAGGACATCACACAGAGCGATAAACACCCTGTGACACAATGTGCCACCACGTGAATGAGGATCGCCCGTGGAGAGGTCCCGAAAACCCAGTTCAACCGTTAGGCTATATTGCGGTCCCTGGCTTTAAAATAACGACAAATTAATCCCACAGGGGAACGACGAGTATGCCTTTGTTCGTGGTTGGTTTACCACTTATGGCGATGGGAAGCTTCAATAGGTGGACAAACGGGGAACGACTGCTCTTCTGATCCGGCAGCTTCTACAGCATTCTTTGTTTGAAAAGTATTCCTGTTAATTTTCCTTTGGAGTAAACAAAGCAGACCAAGGGATGAATGGACAACCCCTAGTTTGTACAACACTGCTCAGGCTTTGTGTTATGGATCTCTATCATCCCTGACCTTAACGCACTTCGATGCAAATGCCTCATTATTACACAGAATAACGCTATGGAAAGACGAAAAGGTGCCAGCAAGAAAACGTATTTGGGATACTGTATTATGTAAGACATATCTTTAGAAGGTTATTCTAGACCAGCGGTTCTCAACCCTTCCACAGGGGTAGCCTAAGACCATCAGAAAACACATATTCATTGAAGTTATATAGAAAAATTCTGTTTGGGAGGTCGCCACAACATGAGGGAACTGTATTAAAAGGGTGCGGCTTTAGGGAGGTTTAGAGCCACTGTTCTAGACCCTATTTTAGGCAGTTGACATTGTACGAATATTTAGGAGTGGGTGTATAGTGGCTGCCAAAACAGCTCTCACATGGACACCAGAGGGAAAGATAAAACAGGGGCGCCCAAAAACAACATGGAGACAAACGATGGAAAGTGATCTGAGTGCGGCATCTTTGACATGGAAAACTGCACTGAAGATTGCACAGGACAGGAAAGCATGGAAAGTCTCGCTGAAGCCTCACGTTCCACTATGCCTAACAAGAAGTGATGATGATGATATAGTGGCTTAGTAATGGGATGTGATAACTGACCTACGTTTATGGTAAAATGCACTGGTCCTTTCTGGGAGGTGATATTACACCTACGGTATATCTATGATATCATGTAATGATCTTTTTTTTTTTTTTCATTTTAACATAAGGCTTATATTTCTTTTATACAATGTAGTGGTCTACTTCTGAAATAATTAGGATGAGTTTCACCAATATCTCATTGCAAACATTGTGTTAGATCCATCGAGTCTTTTTGGTCTATACCAGTGGTCTGCATGGGGTCTCCGTGGCGAAGTAGTCAAACCGTTTTCCTCCCCCTCTGAAGGTCGTGGGTTCGTTTTACAGCTGCGCCGTTCAGGTCACAAATGCAGTTTTTAACGAAAATCCTTAGGCTAGTCGCCGGAGCTACGAAGTTCGTGCTTTGTGCCGCGCTCTCGGTAGGCAGCAAGCAAGCTGTTCTACGGAGAGAGACCAAACTATATAGGATAAAACCTGGTGCAATGAAGTCGATCCTCTCAAATCAACTGGTCTTCAACCTTTTTTAGGTGATGTCCCACTCGAGTACACGACAAGACCCTTCACGCATCCCCCCACCCCCACCTTTTCTCCTTTTCCCCACCAACATAACAATATGGAATTGAGGAGACCAAAACAAGTGTGGAAATATAAATGTTTTGGTAACAATGTTTTATCTTGATATCTACTATTTCTGGTCTGACGTCGGACAAGGCACAATGGAGATCACTCTCCACATCAGGCTCACAGCTCTGTTTTGTTTCCATGACTGTTGTAGCTTAACATCTTGATTATTACAAGTACAAAATGCACTCAATTTCAATATTGCTGGACCTCCCCCCCCCCCCACCTCACCCCTCTCACCCCCCATTAAAAAAACCCCACTTCATTAAGCTCCCCTCTGTGGGGATGGGGGCCGCCCCCAGGCTGACAACCACGGTTATTTTTTAATGTGGGTCTAGCACAGCGGTTCTCAACTTGTGGGTCGCAAACCCTTTGTGGGTCGAACAACCCTTTCACAGGGGTCGCCAAAGACCGTCAGAAAACACATATTCACTGAGGTTAGGAAGTAGCAACAACAACAACAATTGTATGGTTGGGGAATCACCAAAACATGAGGAACTGTATCAAATGGTCGCTGCATTAGGAATGTTTATAGCCACTGTTCTAGCACCATATACAATATGCGCTAGTGGCGTAATAAAGATCCTTTGCTTTACTGTGTGACTGACTATTGGCAAGACATTTTTATGTTACTCTGAGTGTTAAATATACTGGAACTACAGAGTTTAATGCATATATTTACACACGAACGACTGGAGAATTATGAATTAGACTAATAGTCTTGATTGTAATTATACATAATTTAGATTAGAGTGATCTGGCTTTTGGTTGCATACAGAAACCTGATTGCCTCATCGTGGTTTAGTGGCTCTTTGATCTGAAAATTTTTGATAATGTATTTTTTCCCCCAGAAATAGCATGTAAGTTATTAACGACTGAAAATATAGACTTCAAAGAAGATTACTCAAGTCTGGTTGCAAGAAGAAACCTTGTTGCCTCGGCGAACATGCTGTAGGGCTAGGCTTCTTGGAAGAAAATAGTCACACACAGAAAAACAATTCGAAAATCATAAATTACACAGATTCTTGATTGCAAATAGACTAGTTTTGGATATAATGGATCAAGAATTGGGGATAGCTTTTTGGAAGAAAATAGTCACACACACAAAAAACAATTTGAAAATTATAAATTACACAAATTCTTGATTGCAAATAGACTAGTTTGGGATATTATGGATCAAGAACTGTGGATAGCTTATTGGAAGAATATTTACACAAAGGTCAACATGGCGGTTATAAATTAAAAAAATTCTTAATTGCCAATATGTGTTTTTAGATAGCACAGAAAAAATCTCATGTTGCAGACATAAGTATCTTCGCCTCATTGAACTTGCCGGATAACTTCTTGAAAGAAAATATTCACACAAAAATCAACTAAAAAATTATAAAATAAAAAGTTCTTAATTGCAATTATATTTGTGTTTAGATAATACAAATACAATCGAAGCCTGTGGACAAAAATATATTTATCCCGTTAAACACGCCGGCAAACTTCTAGGATTAACTTTTCTAGAAAATATTTACACAAGAAATGAAAATTATAAATGAAACCAAGTATGAAAATTATAAATCAAACCAAGCATGAAAATTATAAAAGAAACCAAGTATGAAAATTATAAACGAAACCAAGTATGAAAATTATAAATGAAACCAAGTATGAAAATTATAAATGAAACCAAGTATGAAAATTATAAATGAAACCAAGTATGAAAATTATAAATGAAACCAAGTATGAAAAGTATAAATGAAACCAAATCTTGATTGCAGATATTCAATGTTTTATATAAAACTGATCAAGCCTTTGGCTGCAGCCAAAAACGTCTTTGCCTCACTGAATGCGATGGAGAACTTCTTGGAACTGCACCTTTTCGTGAAAATAATTGCACTAGAAACAACTTCAGATGTGTGCGAAACTGTTTGCTAGTTGCAGTGTAGATAAATATATTGCAGGCGTGGTGTGAGATGCCCAGCTCTTCAATGATCTTACGGGCTGTGTAGTAGGACAAATAGTTCTGCCATGTATGATCCTGTCTCATTTCATCCATGCTCATGGTGCTTCCGAACTGCACGCTAGACTGCATGATGAACATAATCGTCACCGGAAGTTTACTGAATATCAGATAGAAAGAAATCCACATGAGTGTAGCTGTTGTAGACGAACATCGTGGCCCTGCATGTCTGTGTAAGGTTTCACTGGTGATAAATAAACGGCCGACAGTTCGAATCTGCTTAAGGACACATATATTGAGAACAAAAGCGAAGATGGGAACGGCACCAAACATAACCAGGTCTGACGTCCAGTTCCAGATGACGTAAACATCGTTAAACAAAATCCGGAGAGCACATTCCCTGATTTCGTGGCTGACGTTCCAAAAGAAAGCTTGCGGCAGGGCTAAAATGAAGGACGTACACAGAATGGCTCCTATAATTTTGGACCATCTTGAGGTTTTCGAAAATTTTTCGCAGGAGAATGGGCGACACACCGAAATAAACCTCTCCACTGTAAAAGCAAACACAAGCAGAATTGATATATACTGGCAAGTTATTTGTAGAACGTTCCAGATTTGACACCAACCCTGTCAGTGGAAATAAAACAAAACAAAGAAGTATTATTTCAAACAGAAGTTATTACTTCATAATTTACACATTAGTAAGTAAAAAGTATAGGTCCCCTTTTCAGTCCTTTGGGCGTATAGGGCATACAGGGCTAGACCTATATTTTCATAGACCAGTCGGCACAAGATGGGTAATGTGGTCAGCATCACGCCATAATCCATATATATTTATTTAGAACCTGCAGCCCTTATCTAACAGAATATAGGCTATTGTGGGTTTCAACATTACACGTTTCCACAAGCAGAAAATAATAATAATTCCTTGTGTACGGCACGTAGCAATGAACGGCACGGAATCATAGACTAAACAAAAACTAGGTAAGGAACTTGGCAATTTCCAGATGTAGCGTCCGCGCAAAGAGCAGAGATTAACAAAACAGATCAAATAATACTGAGGTATGTATACCACTATTTAATGTGAAACAATTGAGGTTAATGCCTCCCCGTTGTAAGAGCCATTAATTTCACTTACTTTTAGTAAAGGTAATTTCGACCTCTGGGCTATGATGTGTGGCCTCAAAGGAAATTTCGAATCACCCCAGTATTTTCCCAAGGCGGTATTGAGAAAGTAGATATACTAAAGAATACTCTGTATATAATAGGAGAAACACACCCCCCCCCCCCCACTCCCATACACACAACGAGTTAGAAGAGACTAAGATTGATTTGGAAGCATTGTTAAAATAAATTTAAAAGAGAGAGAGAGAGAGAGAGAGAGAGAGAGAGAGAGAGAGAGAGAAAGAGAGAGAGAGAGAGAGAGGCAGAGAGCAAAAGTGAAGCAACATAAAAAGACGACTTGTATTCAAACACATACCCCCGTTCCACACACACACACACACACACACACACATATCTACCCACACACACAAACACACACACCCCCCACACACATATCTACCCACACACACACCCACCCACACACACACACACACCTACACATACACACACACACACCTACACATACACACACACACACACAGAGGAAGGAAATGGGCGGCAGGCGAACACGATGTGACAATGATATAAGTTGGCTGATAGCGTCAGGAGTTTGACGAAAAGCTTTAAAAGTGTACAATCACAGAAAATGGGGGAAATCAATTACAGCCTAGCGTATATCTATGGAGACATCGTCTGAGTGATAGAAGTTGACTAATTTCAATGGAGATGGGTTTAAGTGACAGAATTTAACTGATTTCACTGGACGGGTTTAAGTGACAGAAGTTAACTGATTTCATTGGAGACGGGTTTAAGTGACAGAATTTAACTGATTTCACTGGAGACGGGTTTAATAGACAGAATTCAACTGATTTCATTGGAGACGGGTTTAAATTAAGCGACAGAAGTTAACAGATTTAAACGAAGACAGGTTTAAGTGACAGAAGTTAACTGATTTAATTGGAGACGGGTTTAAATTAAGCGACAGAAGTTAACAGATTTAAACGAAGACGGGTTTAAGTGACAGAAGTTAACTGATTTCATTGGAGACGGGTTTAAGTGACAGAAGTTAACAGATTTCAACGAAGACGGCGCCTGAATGATAAAGTTCACTGATTTCAATGGCAACGGCGCCTGAATGAGTGAAGTTCGCTAATTTTTATGGGGACGTCGCCTGAGTGATAGAAGTTCACGAATTGCAAGAGGCATGGGTCTGAGTGACAGAATTACGCTAATGTCAATGGGAAAGGGGTCTAAGTGATACAAGTTCACTAATTTCAATGGAAACGGCTCATGAGTTATAGAATTAAACCTCTCTCGAGTGTCTCGCTCTTCCATAACTGCTACTATCTGTTTGAACCCTTCTAACTCGCCCTTACTGTCATTTATGCATTACGGTTTTAATTACAACATTCTCTGTTTCTGTAAGTGCTGATGAAATCTTTCTTGCTGCAGTGAAACTAATTTTTGCTACGTTTCGTTTGGTCCTATATCTGAGTGATGGGAGCACGCAAATCCTTTTATTTTTATTTTGGAAGGGCGAGGTAGGTAGGTAAGTTGTACCCCACCAGGGCCACACAAGCGATAAACACCAGGTGTCACAATGTGCCACCATGCGGATGGGGATCACCTGGGAAGAGGTCTCAGAAACCCCGTTCAACGGTGTGGCCATATTTAGGGCCTTGCTATATTTAGGGCCACGGCAAAAGCCAGGGGGAGGCTTCAAAATAACGAAAAATTGAGACCTACATGGGGGTGAATCAGAAGGGCGAGAGACAGGGAATGTCCGAAATCTATGACATCTGCCCTTCATTATGGAGACTGTATCTGACTGACTGATGGGCTACATTCACCATCCTCATGAAGTGCCTAGAGTGGGCGATCATGCCTCTCCACAATCTGCGAATTCCAACAGATGTCAATAATCATTTCTTGTTGCCTTCCCCAATCTCTCTTTCCACCGATCTTTCTAGTGGTCATACCATATTCCAGCTTTCCTCTTCTCACAATATGGCCAGAAATTGATAGTTGTCTCCACCTGATGGTAATGATCAGGTGTCTTCGGGAGCCCGTCTCTTTGAAATATTTCGGAGTCACTCATTTTAGCTGCCTAATGCAATTGAAGCATTCTCCTGGGAAAAAACTCCTCAAGAAATTATTTAATTTGATTATTAATTATTAATTAATTAACCATTACATCTACATTTAGTAAAAGACTTCAAGTAAACATTTATGTGACTGATTAAGTGCAGACCCTGTACTTACTTGGAGATCTAGAGCGCCAACCAGCCAAGGATACTGCAATTCGTTTACAATTATGAGTATCAGAAACAAACCGTCCGACGCAGCCAAAGTTGCCAAGTACGCTGCAGAGCTGTTGCATTTACGCATACGTCGAAGAGTCCAAATTCGGATTGAAATCTGTTGAGAAATAATCATCAGATAAATCAATTCTTTAGCGACAAACACTTGCATAAGGGGACAACTCGTCACAATCGTGAAAGAGGTCCTTTGCAGAACGTCGCTCTCATGACCATTTGCCTTAATGAAACTAGGCCACTTGCCAGCTCTCCCGCGTCGTGCACTTTCCTACCCAAGGTCTTACTTATATCATGTGGCCATTTTAGTGATTATTGGCCCCTGCCCCTCTTTCCTGGTACCATGCCTTCTTGTATTTTCCCCCCAATCGACTATTTCACTTTCCGATACAAGATGATGTTTACTTGTCAATCATCTGTGATGTTACATATGATATGATGTCAGTATTTCTTTATTAATTACCAAAACTAGCCTACTTAAGTCGGCTCTGTGGCTAAGTCGATGCGAACGCTTCGTATACCGGGAGCCGGGTTCGATCCCAGCTGGGGGGGGGGGGGGGGGGCATGCGCCTTGAGTTGATTTTGACAGTGGTATAAAGAAAGCCGTCCAGAAATCAATGGCAAACTACTAGACGTAAATTTGCCTAGAAAAACCACACAACAGCCAGGGGCTGTTGGGGTTGGTTCTGCAACGTCCTGTAAAGGATACGCAACTAACGTAAGCCTACTTAAAATTAACACCCGCGAAATGAGATGCCCGAGAAAAGCCGCCAACTTAAATACCTGAGACAAAGTTAAAAATAATATTATCAGACGCAATTAGGAACAACATCATGCAGAAATGCATTGAAAATCAGAAGATCGGATGGTTTTGTCATCTAGTAGCAGCCGGAACAACTACCAGCTACACCTAAAAAGATCTGACGTGAAAGCAAGAGGTCGTCCTTAGAGAAAATGGATTGATGAGTATGTTTTTTGTTTTTTTAGTCTGTGGTATTCTGAGAATGTTTCTATATTGTGATAGCTTAAAACCTCTATAGGCAACAACTAAAACAAATTAAAACAGTGTCATTTCCACATTTAACCCGCTGCAGTCTTTGGGAATATTTCTTGTGAGGCCCCTCTTCCACGGCGTGTCTGTCATACTACTTACTGTCTGAAAGCCCCAATACCAGCTTTTGAAAATAATAATAATAAGAAACAAAAATAAAACGATCGCCTGTAAAACACTGTGTTGTGAAGTTGTGAGGCGCATCCGCTAATCTCTAAGCCAAAACCTTCCCGCTGTTGCAAAGTAACTAGACGCTTGTCAAGGTCTTGGGTTGGAATTAACTTTTACCCCATGGCCATAGCATCGAATGACTTTCTCCGTCTGAGTTTGGAGTGTGACTGCTATGAAATGTCTAAACTCTAAGAGGGAACATTATTGGTCCAGACCTAATCCCATAAAGGATGTAGGTCCTGTTATGAATTATGACCTCGTTACACTTTAACATGCCTTTCAGCAGATGTGAAGAGAACACACAAACACTGTCACGCCAAGAAATCAAAGAGGTATCAAGCCCCATCTCCCACTATATTGTGTAAGTAGACTAAGTTGCCCCTTGTAACCACGAAAGAAATTCTCTTTAAAAGTATTTGTTTATACTTTTTCACACTATTTCAAATTTTTTATTTTGTTTTTCTTCCACTCAGCACAATATTATTATATAAATATTGATATTATAATTATGCTCCCAAACTAGGATTAATTTTCTTGACCTGAGCCTAGAACATTTTTTTTTTAGAAGGACGAAAAAAAATTTTCTGGGGGAAATGGGTTCTTTGTGTTAGCGCTCTAATTAACCAGTTCGTGACTAAACGCAAACAATCATTACTGTGTGTATTTAACCGCTTGTTAGTGTGATGGGTTATGGCGGGGGGTTCTAAGTCTGAGAATTTAGGTCCTAACGACATGTGCTGTTCCCACGAATTGTGCAGATTTTGATTTTTATCTTCACCCTAAAAAGACAATAAAATTCCATCACCTTGCTCGGGATTAAAAGCCGAGCCACCCAAATGAGAAGCTAGCCTTCTAACCCTATCTTTAGCGGCTTAGGGGATTAGGGTTGTATTGTAGTCTATACTGTGGAGTACATGCTCTAAATATTATCGTGTGGACAGGTTTCCTAATCTGCACATAAAGTTTGGTCTGAAGCCTATATACTCTTTTTTTTTTCATATTTCCAACTGCCAAGATATTTTTTTAAGTTGTCGAGCACCGATTGGTCTGCCCTTACCAGAGAATCTTTAATGTCTAATGTACTCCAACTCTTCAATCAGCGGTGATAATCCTTTTGTAATGTTAATGTATAAACTACTCGTCAAACGTCAAGGACCACTTAGAAAAACTTTAAATTAAATCATTAGGAAAAAAATCAGTTATCAACGTAAGCAATATAAATAAAAACGTCATCAAGTGAATCCCAAACTGACATATCAGGTAAAGAAATGGAAACACATATTCAAACTCAACAAAGCTGTGAACTGTGCCATCGGTCTTTTTAAAAGTCACAAAACGGATATAAAACAACTAGACATTTTAACAACACATGGCTGTGAATCCTGGACAATCAGTAGGCAGGCCAAAAAATTTCTTGAGGCCTCAGAGATGTGATTTTACAGAAGAATGCTTAGAATACCTTGGACAGCCAAAAAGAGCAACCAAGAGGTTTTGAAAAAGGCGGGAGCCCGAAGACAACTTACTACAGACATCAGAAGGAGACAGTTATCATTTTTGAGAAGAGGGAAATAGAACACGTTGTGACCACCGGAAAGATCTGTGGAAGGAGGGATAGAGGAAGACAACGAGAGAAGATTCTTGACAGTCTTGTTGCATGGCATGGAAATGTGTCGGCACACGAACTGATACATGCTGCAGGAGATCGTGGATTATGGAGAGGCATGATCGCCCACGCCAGTCGGCAAGGCACATGATGATGATGATGATGATGATGGTGAGACATTTTAAAAGGACTTGACTCCACTCCTTATCCATTGGATGCGCTCGCTACACCAAGTAACACAGGCTCTGTGATGAGCAGGAGTAAGAGCGATTCTGGCTGCAGGAATTTGAGCAGCCAGACCAAATTCATGTAAACGTCTACGAACGGTGATTTGACTGGCATCCACGTTTACTGTTTGTCTCAGCTGACACCTTAGAGTTGAACAGGTCACTGTTTGATGGCACAGGGCTGACAACAAGAGGTAAGGTACCAGTCCTCATGTCTGTTAGTGCTTCTAAGGCCACCTGGTCGGTGGTGGTCCTCTACTCTTCATGTGGCCTAAATCTTTACAAATGTCTGTGGATAGTAGAGTGTGGCACCGCAAGCCGTCTTGCAATTTCACGGGTGGATCAATTCATTTCGACCCGCGCTTTAGCTCTCATTGTTTTGAAGATGTCAAGACTTGTTCTGGATGTCATGGTTTTTGCAAGCAATGAAACAACTCTAAGTGTGCTGATTGTTAAACAAATTTAATGAGAATTATTTTCATGAGCATCGCACGTGAAATGTCAATCAATACGATTACTTTTCATATTTGATGGTAAGGAAGTTTGAAAAGCGCAGATTCTGAACGTGAATTTACAGCAAGCAAACAAAATAGCAAGTGATTGTCACGGTTGTCAGTGAGTTGTTTTCATGCTTTATGTGCATAGAGACTGTCAAATGAAGATATCGCATCCATTTTTTTTTTTTTGAATACTTAAAACTCTCTTTGTCTAATATTTATATGCACTTATAAAAAAAAAAGTTTATAGACAATTATAGAGTTGTCCTTGACTTTTGATGAGTAGTATGTATATTTGTATACCTTAAAAGGAAGGAAGGCGAGATTACACTAACAAATCGACATACAGGTGACTGCACAATTTAAGACCGTGGTAAATCTTTCATCTTCCATGTTTGTTAATTGAATAAAGTTTAATATAAAAGGTTGATAACTTGAGAATCTGAAATGGAATGATCATGACAAATGTTATAATAATCAAACGTGACTGATATATTCTATCCATGGAAAAATCTCAACAGAAGCAGGCTCATAAACATGCCAGGTATGAAAAAGCATCGTGTCAAAGACGAGAGATGTTTGCGATCACGCCGCAGTAAACTCTGTGCCAGATGGCTGGACAAGATAGGGCAGTATAAAGTAGAAACAGGAACCATTAACCAATGTAGATCGTATAAACCAGTGTTCTTCAAACATTTGTACAAACGGGGACCGGTAAAATCGGAAAAATATTTAGCTAACAGATTGACGGTTATGGGAGAAGTAAATACAAATATATAGATACAGTTCGTTTTCTAAAGACATATGTTATAAAATTACAGTTCTTGGAGAAATGCCAGTGCTCAGAAGCTAGAAAATCTCATAATTATATCTTCTGAGACTCGAAGAACTGCAATATTTCCCTTCGATTCACAGTTTTAGTTTCTGTTTGGCTTCTGATTTTGTTCCAGAGCGCCATAAAAAAAAAAAAAAATTGGAGGATAGCCTCCCCATCAAGCATATCGTAAAAGGCAACTAATTAGGGATTTTTCCTACAAAGTCGGAGAGATCTATCTGAGAGGCGGGGAACAAATATTCTACAAACAAATAAGCAGATTTAAAAATGGGATATGCATACAAAAGACAATAAATAAACAGAGGGGGGGGGGGGGGTGAACCATTTGAGGCCGTTAAATATTATGAATTAATCAAGTAACAGAAAGTATTGTGAACGGCACTCGTGTTCGTAAATTGTTGCTGTGATTGTTATTCGACATTTGCTTCGTTAATATAAATTTCTGTAAATTATGGTACCATTTCAATGGGTTGAAATGAATTCTGTCCGTATTCCATAGTCGTGGATTTTCAAGCTGTACGATAGACATGGCCAATAAGACACCTTTTTTGGGGGGTGCCTAGTTGACCATGTATCTTAGTGCACTTGTATTCATGGCGAGGCGCAGACGCCGTCTGGAGGTGACAGGTTCAATTCCTGGCACGGTAACTATAGCTTTCGATTTTTATGTTGTCTAGTGTGTACTTCTATCTTTCTACTTCTTTCTATGAGTGCCGTTC